ATCTGGAAGCCGGCTCGCTGCACGTGGGCCTCAAAGTCGGCAGCCCTCGATGCATCCTCCAAAAGTCGATCGTAGACCCGAGGGTAGCGAGTGGCCAGCTTGGCCATGTTGCAGACATAAGCCACCGGACCGCGCTCAACCAAGTCGTGCAGGCCAAAGCCCCCGGTGTTGGCCCGCGTGAAGAGGCGAGCCTCAAGGAGCTGTTCCAGCGTAACGTCATGACCTTCAGCTCCAGCTGGTGCAGACAGGTTTACCTTGGCAAAAAAGGCTTTGACAAAGGTGTCCTTGCAAGCACGGTTCAAGAGCTCGGACAAGCCCGACGTGAGACTTGGGGGCAGCGTGTAGAGGTGGTTGATGAGGCTAGGCACGTACTGCATGGCCGTGAGGAGGGCCTGAAGCGAGACACCGGTCGTCAGCATGTCATTGAGCTTGCCAGCAATGTGCTTTGCCTTGTCGTTCAGCTGCTTCTTCATCCACTCGCGACGGCCAATCGGCGTTCCCAAGACCGTCATGCCCGTGTTGGCCGTCTCGCGCACGGCATCTGGCAAGGCAGACTCGATAGCAGCGATGGAAGCGGGATGGTGGCGAGGCATGTAGAAGCGGCTCTTACTGGGCTGCAGATGAAGGCCAGCAGACTCTGCACGAGCCTTGACAATCTCCACGTCGGCTGTCACGTATTAGAGGCACAATCTGAGACGGTATACTTCACCACGTTGTGTGTCCTCTGGTACTTGATGTTGTCCCACCTTGTTGTGTAACATCTTGCTGTACCATCTTGTTGTGGCATCTGTTGGTCCCAACAGATTGCTGATATCGCTTCCACCTGTCTTCAGTGTGATAGTCCATTCTCTGTCTCCACTGTGTGTGTGGAGCGATCTCCCTGGATCGGTACCATTTTCCTTCTTGACCTCGGTCGTTCCACTTCCCTCCTTCTGTCTTGTTCTGTCTTGTTCTGTCTTGTTCTGTCTTGTTCTGTCTTGTCCTGTCTTGTTATTATATCTGTCTTGTTCTGTCTTGTTCCCTTGCCTTGCTTCAATTCATGTTCTCGTTTGCACCTCGATTGGTTGGATACCTCTGTGACAATCGCCTTGTCCACACACATTACACTGTACTGGACATACACCTTCAATATCACGTCCTCGGCGGGGCCCATCAGTACAATGTCGTCGAGGTACTTGATAACCTTGCAGCGATAGTCAGACTCCCAGGCTTGAAACCCACCAAAGGCTAGGATGATGAAGCGCTTCTTCGCAACCCACAATCGCCCCCCTTGCTCCGAGGAGCTCGACGGAGAATACACAAGGCATCAGCTTGGAACGAAAACCGGCTCGGCGTCGAGCAGCGCCTCACTTGCTACAACCTTTATGCGGCAAACTTGGCCGTGTGCACAGTCACTGCGATGTCCAAGTCGATTCGACTTGATACAGAGCATCATCAGGTAGAGTAGGCGGTGCGACAGCGAACCTTGGCGTTGTAGCCATGACATTGGGGACACATGTTGTGCATGGCTTTGCCAGAATGCGTGAGTCGGACATGATCGAGGATCTTATAGGTACTTGGAATTGTTCCCAGCATTGCTTGAGAGGCGGCCATCAATGCCCTTTCTTTGCAATTGCTTCAAGTACGCTGTTGATTGTTGGGATATGATGAGCTAAGATTACAATTATGATACTACTGTTCAATCAATGTTCCATTAGGATTGCCATTGCCGAAAGTAAGTCGCCATTCGAGTTCGCGATGCCTCTGAACCATTGTTCACTGTTGGGATAATGCGTTGTGGTCGCACTTTTCGAATGAAGCTACAAACAGTACATCGTAGTCAGATTGCAGTCCATGAGATGCCAGCACTTTCCAGACTCTAGTCATGTTCAGCAACAGTTGCGCACGACCTACCGCTTGAGCTCGGCAAATGAACTGTGTTCAGAGTATGGAATCTCTAAGTTTCAACCACCCGCATTGAGTTTTTTGTAAGAAGCCGCTTGCGAGGAGTGTGGTGAAAACGCAGGGCTAGAAAACAATCTAGTTTCGAAACAGAACGTGGTCACGCTTTGTTTTCTGACTGATTTCTAACCGTGGACAGTGACGTTGGTGCCGTGGCGGCGATTTTGCCCCGTAGGCGTCTTGGTAAATGCCCAACCAGTCGGGCGGATCGCCACCACCTGCGCGAATGAAGTGCGAAACCAGCTGGCATCGGTCAATGCCTGGAGGCTCTACGTGGTGAAGTGCAGATTGAAAAAAATGTTGCACATGCAAGAGTAGATGAGTGTGATACAGCCTGCCCGCCTCGCCTCGTCGGGTGCATATGCTGTGAAGGTCTCATGCAGCCCTGGCAACGAACCTTAACCGTCACTTGACCCATTGGTACAACATGTACGCACGCCTGTGTTTTGTCGGCTACAAAATGTTTGTCATACCAAGGATCTCCCAAACAGTCCAAAACCTGCGGAGCGTTGATGCGTGTGTCAGAAGAGTGGACCACAAGCTTTTGCGGAGCTGGAAAACTTGCCTTTTTCTTGTCCTTTGGGCACCAAAATTTGGCGCCAAGCCGTTCCACAATTGCACGAAAAACACGCTCCTTTCCAATCGTATAGGTTCCACAAAGAAACAGTGTTCGCGGCAGTCTTGAAAAGAGACAGACAGACAGACACACAGGGGCAGCGGGAAAATCAAAGATGAACCGGGTAGATGCGCGAGCATGAAGGATGGGCAAATCAAAAGTGCAAACTATCGATAGAGATGGTGGGCATGTGTAGATTGCAATGCGCACCGATGCTTCTCGCAAATGTCTTGAAGGCGTGAAAGAATGGTTTCGATCCGAGGAAAGCAATATTTTTCATTGCAGTACGTTGTATCCAAATGCACCGTGTGGATGGAGAATGATTGTAACGATTGCAGCACCTGTTCGGTAGCTCGAAAGTCGCCGGTATGAAGTACATTGCGCCCTTTGTCAAGCAAGCAAGCGCGAGTCAAGAGCAGGGCGCATCGAGGAGACTTGGCCACGGGTTGCATGCAAAAAAAAACAAAACAAAAACACGAGGACACGTTGGTGGCGAGGTTTGCCAACCGTTGACATTGAAGATGAGAAGAACAGCCCCAGGGCAATGATCTGCTTCCAGAACGGTCACGCGATGTCCCTCGATCTGATCCAAAGCAAAATTGTGAGTAACCACATCGTGAGACCAATGACGTGCAAAGTCCAGGACATAATCAGAAAAACATTGTTGACAGTGAATACAATGTCCTGCCATTGCAATTCTCACTTGGTACGTGTTGCCAGGATTAATAATACGAATGTGCTCGGGCTTGACACCGATTTGTGACTGCACGAGGCGTGCTGTAATGGCGCTGCCAAGTGTGCCAATGTTGTCAAATAAAAAAAAGGCAAGGTGCAAAAGTGCGCACTGAGATGTCAGGAAATCGCACGTAGCAGGAGCAAACGGGGGGGCGGGGCGGGGGGGGGGGGGGGGGGGAACAAGTGCCCCCATA